AGCGTCGTACAACCACTGCTGCGGTTGTGTTGTTGAGAACCTGGAAATCAGGGAAATTCAGGGTAACTGGTCGGAATATGCAATGTTAGGGGAGGTTATATTGCTAGTAGATTGAAGGAGGGCAGTAAAGGAAACAGCAGAAGGCGGATGACTCTCTTACAAAGGCAGAGGTGAGCAGCAATGACATGTGAGAGGGAATTATCTGATGGGGAATAAGGAGGAGCCTGGACTACACCCTGGTAAGGGCAGCACAGTCATGCAAGAAGCAAAGACATCACAAAACGTGCGTGGCCTAGAGTAGAGCTGGGAGCATATTTCTGAGAGATGTGGCAATGCAAGGAACAGGGAAGGGGCATGCATCTCTTGTGAAGACGATTCTCCTCTTTCACTTACTTTTATTGACTGCTGAACACAGTGCTTTCCCAAGGATCTTTCGTTTTCTCCACACTACAAGCCAGCTTCTACTTCTTTTAGGGTTATTCCCCTCCACTTAAGGTTTTGCACAAGACAGGCTGGTTGGATCTCTAATAGGACAAGAAGGATAACTTCAGAAAATAATCCTTTCAAGTCCTCCTTCCAGTTCAAAGAGTAAATACCTTTTCTGCATAACACCTACCCCATACTCTCACTTTGTTCCTAAGCCTTCATTCCCGTATTCTCCCATCACGCCTCGTTCAGCTGGGAGAAACGGGCTGGACCCCCTTCCTGCTACTTTCAGGAACACAGGGTTGCTCCCCGAGTCTTCACAATGGGCTGCAAAAAAACAGGTGATTTCCTATGTGCTTCCAGGCTTTGTTCCTGAGAAAGTCTGGAACACACTGAGAAATTACTCCCTTGGGCTGCAGGTCAGGAAGCATTTCAGGGGTTAACAGCCTTGCATTGCTCAGCAGCTGCTTTTCCAAAGCTTTATTTTACTTGCTGTATTTGTTACAGCAATAAAGTAAAGTAACCACTTAAAGTGAGCTGCTTGTGCTGACCTTAGGCATCCTGTAATGCCAGAAATAGAAGTTCCTCAAACCAGTCTCTTCCAGAGCACCCTTACCAGCACTCCCAGGGGCTCAGCAAGAGGCCTGGCCAGCTCTACAGGACTGTGTAGAAAGTGGCCAACTCTACAGCGCTCTGCCTCCTTTGTTATCCCAGCAAAAGATCCTTGGTTGAGGCAATGGGAGACATCCCTGGCACCCACGGATAGCCCAACTTCATTCCATGGGTGCCCACGGGCAGCTGCCAAACAAGTTAACGCACTAGCCTTCCAGTCAAACGCATCTTCCAAACGTGGTAACGTCCCAGGGACACACACAGAAAACAATGTGAGGAGAATATCACATTTCTTCTGTTCTAAACCCTCTGTGGGAAGAAGTAACACAACTTTCTCATTCTGGGTTTGCTATGTGCAGCAAAGCTGACAATTGTCATTAAAAGCAGTAAAGCGTGCTTTGACTATTGAGAGATACTTGTTACTGACTTTGAGAAAAGGCACACATTTCTAGAACGCTCATGCTTTCTCCCCTCACACTCTAGAAAGTGGTTTTCAGACAATCAGAAAAGATGAGAAAAAGAAATAATAAAGGAAACTTGGGGGGGAAAAGGGAGACCTTGAGATCAAAAAAATCCTGAGAGTAAGCTAGTGCCTGAAGGAAGACAAAGTCTGCTTCAAAGGCATAGGTGGGATTTAAGAAGGAAAAAGCTTTAAGAGGAATCCCTGAAGAAGTATAAGCTTTATCTCAAAAGGTTACCTTCCTGGGCATCTGTCACAATGCTAAAGGCATACATCTTTTTCATTTTACATTTAAGAATAAAAGGCATAAGGTTTCTAAAATCCAAATTCAGAAAGTCTATTCTACGTCTATCTTTAACAAAGTTCATAAAGGAATCTGAAAACTCAGTAGCCTACCATATCTTCAGATACATTAGACTAAATACAGACAAAATCGGTGAATTTTTTTTTGGGAGGAGCAAGGGAAAAATTGTTTTTCAACAGCACTTTTGGTGAGCAGTTCTGCTGCTATTGCTCACCCTGACTGGCATTCAGGTTGCCCGGAGAACTCCACCCAGGCTTTTAACATGTGAGAATTTGCTTAATTTCATGAAATTAAGATCCTAGCCCCCAGTCATGGAAAAGCACCTTCAAAAGTAACTTTTAATGGTTCAGATGCCTCAAAATCCCAAGAAAGCAAGCCACCAGCCCCATGACTTTGAGTCACTTTGTGATGTGAGGGAAGGCAGCTCTGCTTGCCCACTAAAAGGGCACCACTGAGCTGAGCTGTTAGACCTGAGGGTCCGTCCACCAGAGCAGGCTTTTGTCACCCCAGCCTCCAACCAGGCAAGCTAGGTTTCCACATTCCAGACAGCACAAGCCCGGTCCCAGCCCCAAAGGCCTTTGCATCACCCAAGAGTCACTAAATAGGCTTTGGCCACCTACTCCCCGTCAGAAGAGGATATGGAGTGGAAAAATCATCCCAATTTCTGGATTACCATTCATGAGTCCTGAGACCTTGTACTGAAATCCCCTCCCCCTTTCCATTTACAACCCTACAGCCTTTCCTTGGTGTGCCTGAACTGCTGCTTTATAGTAGCTTTTTCTTATCAGATGAGGTGATCTGGACCTGCCTAGACTGCAAGCATTTAACTCCCCAATGAGCCTTGAACTTCCTGCACTCTGCTACCTGCAGAGCTGTTGCCAGCCTTCTCCATGAGATGGCAGAGTCAGCTGCCACCAGCTGTGGAGTGCCCTGCTGGAAGTGGGTCTCTGAGCTGACTCACAAAAACACTGCTTGCAATGTGGTCATCCACCTCTGTCTCTGCTGTGCGAGGGTGGCACCTCTCCTTGGGGAGTGGGCACATGCACATACTCTGCTAGGGCTAAAGGCTCTCTATGTAAACCACGGAGGCTGGTATTTGCTGTCTGATGATTCAAAGACACTTAAGCCAGTGAAGCTGCAACCAGGCCAATTTTAGCTTAATGCACTTCTGGAATACGCCCCAGTCTATGAAAATAACGTAGCCCTCCAGGAACAGTACCTTGTCTTATGAACAACACTGCTCGTTTGCCTCAATGTCATCTGCCACAGTCAATTTGGATCAAGTCTTGGGTAACTCCATTGTAAACTATTTTTGCGCATTTCTGAAGAATAACAGCACTTTAATGCAGTTTGAGCCTTTAAGATAATAACTAATGCACCAAACTTAACCATTACTACATATATAATCAGTGAGAAGCTCTCCACTTTGGATATTGTTAATCTCCCTTACTAAAATTGGCATTCTATTTAAAGTGCCAGATTTGCAACTTTTCCTCATGCCTGGATATTCAAGCAAGTTCCAATCAGTCAGGTATAGCCAGCGCACGGCAAGAGTTTTTGTGCATTCTCTGGGCAAATGAAATGTATCTGAAAGTACAGTAGTGACAGTCACCTTCAAATTGATGTTAAAAAACACAATTATTTTTAACATACAGTTTTACAAAGAAAGCAATTGTCAGATAAACATTACAAAAAACTTCAAATTAAAATTTTAGATAAACATGCAGCAATTTAATGAAAGGATGAATTACAGAGAAAGTCCATCTGATTACATATTAATGCTCTACTTAAGAAAGTAATGTCATTTATACATAGATGCTTAACTTATGAAAAATATCTGAAACTGTAGACCATCTTCTCACGTACAGGAGTTCCCTGAGAAAACGTGCCCTTACTTTTCAGATTTCCCAGTACTAAGAACTAGACCCACAGAGAGACTTAATAAAATAGCGTTTAGGTACCTATGTCCAAATAACCCTCAGAATCACTGCCTACCTCTATTGATTACTAAAAATAGGACTTCTCCAAAGTGTAAAGTGAGCTAGGTTACTGTTTCTTCATGTCCCTCCCCATCAGTCCTGGCACTCAGACTCCCCAGAGAAGACCCTCTGCTGCACGGTTAGGCGAGCACTAGCACTGAGGCAAAGAAAAGAGTGTGAATACGTGGCATGAGTATTCACAAAACCACACTAACTTGGACTGACCTTGACTGCTGTACAATAGTCCCTCCCCTTGGGCTGGTGAGTACTTTTAGCTTGCATAAGGTAACACTTGGCATTAATGACTTAAAGATCCACAGAGAATTAGGGAAAAAGTGGGAATGAGCATAGTAATCTTTTCTAGTGATCGGGGGACAGCAGATTGGGGTCAAGTCTCTAAGGATGGATTCATTCAATCCAATGAGTATTCTGTGTTATAAAAACCCGAGACTGAACCCTTCACCTTAGAGATCCTTATTGCCTGAGTTGCACCATAAAGCATATGACAGTCTAATAAAAAGCTATGGTTAAAAAGTAGTAATGGCCTTCTTTGTTAAGGACTCACTAAACATATAACAAGACTGATCAATGGAAAAAGCCATTCTTGTACACCTAATTAACAACGTGTCAGGCTTGGGGGTGGCCTGTATATCTATTTTTAGAAAAGAATAGCTGTCAGACATTTAGAGCATCTACACCCAGCAAGTAGATGGATGAGTTTCTACTTCTGTCTGAGAAAAGGTAACAGCTGGTTAGACAGCCTAGGTGTAGCAAGGATGGTCTATAAATAAGCCTTTATTCTATCATTTTATTTTTCTGTGAAAAGAAGAAAGATGTGTGTAGGCTTATCTATTGGTTTCATGAAGTTATTACTAAAATCTGGCAGGTCACCTAGATTCATCTTCCTTGGGAATAATGCTGTAACACTACTGGCATGACTTCTTTCAAGCAGCAGCATGGACATGGTACTCCTCTTTGGGGGATTAATCTTTTTGAAAGCCTTCAGGCTTTTTAGTATTATGAAGACTGGTATTTTTGAGCCATGTCATCTCCTTTCTTTTTCCACCTTGGATTTAAGAGTAGTTTTCTCAACAAAGCAGACTAGTTCTGCCTCTATTTTGCCTTGGCAGTTTGCAAGGCAGCCTGCTGCTATAAGCAATTTCAAATATTTTTAAGACTTCAGAAATGACTACAGAGAGCTACTCTCTTGTTTTTTTATCAAATGAATGGGACAATAATTGATTATGGCCAATGCAAACAAGATCCCTCTTTTAAACCATTCTGCTATAAACCAAAGACTTCATGACGTGGAATCTTAAACCTCCTCCTAAATCAAGGGACTGTCACATGGGTACTCTGCTCTCACTTCCCTTTCACCCAGATCTCTTTTCCTGCCATGCACCAGCACCAGAGTCTCCCTTGTTTTCTACAGTTCGTTAATATCCAGTAGCAAAAAGCAATAATTAATAGCAGAAAAAACCCACAAAGCCAGTTTCTGTGCAGCTTTAAGCTGCCTTTCATGCGATAAGGGTTTTGTCCTTTTTGAGAATTTAATCACGTGTTTAGCTTTGCATTTCATCGCTAGTCTTCCATCTGTTCCGTTATGCTCAACTGGAAACGAGGAGGCAAGCCTGCACCATGCGAGCCAGAGGGGCTCCCAGGGCCCACCCCCAGACTCCCAGAGAAACAGTACAAACCATTACACTTCCTAAAGTCAACAATAATTCTGTCCTATGTGACTTC